TTTTCTTTTATGTAAAGCACTTTGAATTACCATTGTGTATGAAATGTGCTATATAAATAAACTTGCCTTGCCTATATATATATATATATATATGTATATATATATCTGCAAATATGCAGTAACAGCTTATGCATGTTTTCAAGTACTTTTATCAATACTGTAGCACTGATAGCATTGAATTAGCAATACTGCCTGGCAGCTTTTTACAATTTTTCTGAATTGCTAAAACACATTTCTTGAAACCATCACTCATTTTCTCAAAGCCTTAAACACAAATCTAAATACTCAAACTAAATTCACGAACCCTCTGACTCTCTTTGTCCACATCACAAGTGATGTTGTCTTTTTTGCTAGACAAAGAGAAAAAACCCTCTTGTCTGACAGATCCAGCCTTGATAACAGTCTCTAAACCTTTCTCTCCTCATCCTCTTCCTCCTCATCCTCTACTTCTTACATGTACTCTTCCTCCTCTCTTTCTCAGATTGTTTCCATCTATTGTTCGTATCATCATTCAGTCACCTGTCACTTGTGCACTCTGAACTGGCTCATATTTTGTACAGTTGGTTTGATCACATCATTAGAAACAACAATGAACAATTTTGAATCGTTGTGTGCAAACGATGACAGCTGTGCTTTAGTTGTGTTTAACTTTTGCTGCTTGTGTTTAGCATTTTGCAGCACAAATGCATCACAGTGTGACGTGTTTAAGTGAATGAGAATGTGTTTAGATTTTTGCAAAAAGAGTGCATGAGATTTGCAAATAGAGCCTAACTGCCTGAACATGTTTAAAGTTTAGCAGAAAGAGTGCTTTATTCGACAAATTGGTTTAAGCTAGTGAGAATTTGGTTCAGAGATTGGGGTTTAGTGTTTTAGCAATTCAGAAAAACTGTGATGAGTATGTCAGATTAATTCTGACACTCTCTAAACCTGATGCTCAGGAGTCTAACCTTTCAAGAGCAAAATTAAAATCCATCCCATCGCTCATTAGGTATGTTAATACATGCAAACGAATGGATGCCATGTGTTTGACCCTACCAAGGACATTCTCTGTCCGCATCTCAGAAAGGCTATCTGCTCATCTGCCTTTTTAGAACAATTCTATTCCTGATATAAATTAAATATAAATTACATTAAGAATTCTTACTGAAATTGCACTAAATTCAATCCTACAAACTACATGCTCTATATGAGCTAACTCTCTATTTGTGTTCAATATCATCTTACCATCCGCAGAAGAATATTATTATAAGGAAACATTTTTATACCTGAGAATAAGGATATATCTCATTCTCAGTGACATGCTCTGACATTTCATTAAATCAAGTATAGGGCTTAAGAACTGAATAGTCATATGCAACTACACTGATTGGTGTAGTAAAAAGTTTCCCATATAATTACAAAGAAACAGCAAGTAACACATTAAATTAAATGTGAACATTTCCAAAATGCACTGAAATAGCATTTTCTTATAAACTGTACTACAATATTTTTTATTTGCAACTTAAAAAAAAAATAATAATAATTACAGTGTACTGAAATATGGTATTTTAAAAGAAGGATGTAAGTAAATAAATAAATAAATGTATTATTTGTTTGTTTGCTTGCATTTGTTTATTTATTTATTTTAATTAATTGTATCCATTAAAGGGCCTCTCAAGAATTATGATACACTGAAATGTCTTTTTTCAAGAATATAATGTTTTACATATCATGCAATATCATGCTTTTAATAGATATTTTTTTAATAGAATTTACTTTTTGTATACTAATATACTTTCTTTCTTTCTTCATTGTTTAATTCTCACATAGATTTACCAGGTAGGCATATAACCTATCACCTTTCTCATGTTTGATAGAGGCTCATAATAAAATATATTTATAATGTTGTGTGTAATATTTTATACATTTGTGTGGAAGACACTGTTGTTCTTCCAATGTAAATAAAAAAGTATTTTTAGTTAATATTAATGATAAAAATAAGTGTAGTATGATTAACGCATTTCTGGTTTGGTGATGATGAAGTGCTGCTTGAGCCTACCTGTGACTAGTGTTGAATAAGTGACAGTCTGTGTGCGTGTTCAAGGGGGCGCTATTGCTCTAGTTGATGATGCTGTGACTGAACGTGATGAAGCCCTGCAAAAAGTTTGAGCAGGTCGTGAAGAATACAACCTCACACAATCAGCATTTTATTTGTAAAAGTTTCAGACATGAAGCAGCGACGTTTTAAAAATGAAGCAGTCACTCACACGTGCAGTTTGAAGTCCTTAAAATTGTATTTACATGCGGAAGAATGCGAAATAGCAATATGTATATTGCCGCGCTGTCTGAAATGATTCTGCATCCCACTGTCGCTCAGCACTGTGCTCGGCTTGTATGTGCGCGCATCCAGGTGTTGACAGAGAAACCTAGTAGAGTCGGTGAGGAGGGAGAGGGTGTGTGTGTGTGTGTATGAGAGCGAGAGAGAGAGAGAGAGAGAGAGCGAGAGAGAGAGAGAGAGAGAGACAGAGAGACTCTCTCCTAGTGCACTTTGCAGTAAGTTGCGGGCGGCTGGTTGCTGGTCGCGCAGGGAACTTTAACACGCTGGATCCCAAAGTCCGTCTCTCTCACCTGCGCAGTTCGGAGCTGCCATGGATTTCGCGGCCGGATTTACTATCTTAATCACACTGCCGATCTTTCTGCAGACGAACGGCCTTTATATCTCCAGTAGCATAGGTACGTGCGGCTGCCTTTACCTATTTACACTTTCATCCCATCGCAAGATGTCTTGCCCGGTACCACCCCAGTGCGCATCAGACCTGGATGTTTGCGCACTGTCTCCATGCCTGTGTGAGAGAAACTTGTGGCACTGGCTATTTCTGATCTTTTTAATTATTCTCTGGACCTTTAGGAAATATAAACAGCCGTAGCATTCTCGTGTGCTGTGTCATTACTGTTTGTTGGTTTGTTGTGAAGTGTGTTTGTTTCACATGCTGCTGAAATGAATTCTCAGCGCAGCTCTGGTGTAGTGGAAATGTTTTGGGTGTTTTTGCCTTGCGTTTGCGATCTTTGACGGACGCTCTAGCAATATTGATCTTTCTGAGAGCGGAAGTATTGCAGGATATTGATTTCAAATAATAATAATAAAAATGTCCCCGTTCTGTTCTCATCATTTGGGAACATTTAAACAAAACGTGCGTTTTGCGTAAAGAAAAACAAAACAAAAAACTAAAGCTCTGAAACGGAACTTTTGATTCTGGAAGAGACAGATTTGAAGGTTACTTGTTTATGCTAACTTTCGGTTTGTTGGTGACTTGTAATGGTTATTTGTAAATTAGAGACTGTATTAAATGTGCAGTAAGTGCTCTCTTCAGAGATGCACATGCAGAGCTCAGCATCACTTTGAACTGACAAATCGGCTGTCTCAAAACTTAGCGAGTTGTTTACCTAGACAACATTGTTGGGCATCATAGGGTTCTGAGAGTCATAGATAATTGAAGCATTTTGAGATTGTTAGGCATCATAAGTGTGGGCATCTTAGGTGAGTGGAGGATTTTTTGAGCATCATAGTTGTGTGCATCAGTTGCATATAGTATTGGCTATCATAGGTGTATGCAACATTTTTGAGCATTGTAAGTAATTGAAGAATTTCGAGCATAATTTTAGGCATCATAGGTGTGTGCAATTTTTTTGTGCACCATGTGCATGAATTATTATTAGGAATGATAGGTGTGTGCAGATTTTTTTTAGAATTATAAGTAAGTGAAGCATTTTCAAGCATCATAAGTATGTGCAGAATTTTGCATCAGTTGCATTATAGGGTATCATGGGTGTGTGCATTATATGAGCATAATATGGAAGAGAAGCTTTTTTGAGCTTAATTTTTAGGCATCATAGGTGTGTTCAGCATTTTTGGGGAATCATAGATGAGTGGAGCATTTTTGTGCATCAGGTGCATAAAATATTACAGGTGCATGTGGCTCTTTTAGGTATCATAGTTGTGTGCCGCAAATTTGTGTATCAGGTGAATTAAATATTATTGTGTATTATAGGTGCATATGGCACTTTTGGGTATCATAGGTTTAGGTATGTGCAGAATTTTTGGTGAAACATAGGTGAGTGGAGTATTTTTGGCATTAAGGGTGCATGCAACATTTATGGGAATGCATGGAACATTTCTGAGCATCACGGGTGTGTTTGAAATCAGCTGAGCTGAACTGAATGTGCCTGTGATGCCTGAAATGCTGCCTTGGTAGGTTGCTCACTAGGTTTTGTGACACTCATTTAGGATGAGGGATCTTCTTCTGAGATAAATTAAGTCAGTTACTTTTGTTTTTCCCCTACGTGAGTCTGTTGTTGAGTTTCTCCTTTTATATATGTCAATATTGTAAATGCGTCTATCATGCATCTGGCTGTCATTGAAAACAATAAGACATATTGTGAATGATACATTTTATTTATCTTTGTATTTCTTGATGGGAGGCAGGCAGATGTATTATTACAGACACAGAACAACACACACTTTTCATAAAGTCTCACACAATCGGCGCACAAACAGGCATCATTAAATGATGAAATTAAATGGAAATGATGGTGTCAAACAAGTGTTAATGTGTTTCTTCACCTGGACCTATCTGACCCATTGCTCATGTGCATTTACTTGCTGCATGGAAAGGAATGTGCATTTCAAGTGTCAACAAAAAAAATTGAATGAGGAGAAACATTGTTTCTGCAAACCATCACATGAAAGTCAACAGTGTAGTGACATTCATTATAGATGCTGATGCACTACAACCAATGTGTGCTGTCTGACTGACTATCTTTGTGTCTAACTCAACGCAGATTCCCTGCAGCATGTTCTGGGGGACTATGGATTGGTGAAGCCCGTTCTTACTGATGCAGAAGGCCGCTTTCTGTCCCATGCGGTATCGGTTGGTCCAGCAGATGGGCAGTTCCGTAGGCGCTGGAGAAGAGAGGCGGCATCGTCCGACCACGCCCACCATGAGTCCGGAGGAGGCACGCCTGAGCGACTGTACTACAACGTCACAGTCTTCGGCCGGGAGTTTCACCTGCGTCTGCATCGCAACACGCGCCTGGTGGCCCCCGGAGCCAAGATGGAGTGGCAGGAATCCGACGGCACACACTCCGAGCTTTTGAAGAGCGACTGCATGTATGTTGGCGACATTACAGACATACAGGGAGCCTCCGTAGCTATTAGTAACTGTGACGGCCTGGTAAGTGGCCACTTTGGCCTTCATTTTGTGTGGTGTCCAGTATGTCTGCTTAATTCACACAAACCCGTCATGAATCTAATCAATACAATTAAAAATCGCTATCATCGAAAACAAACTTTAATGAAAAAGAAGAGTTGAATCCTTCCTATATTCAATCAGTGTGCAAATTGGGTGTTTTTTCGGGGTTATCAAGTATATATAGATTTCTTATGCATAGGTATTTTAAGGTGCTCTTAAGTTGTTTACTTCATGCATAGAAATACCAGATCCAATGTTAAAGGAATAGTTCACCCAAAAATGTATATTTGCTGAATATTTACTCACCCTCATGCCATCCAAGATGTAGATGAGTTCATCAGAACCAATGGATCCTCTGCAGTGAATGGGTGCCGTGAGAATGAAAGTCCAAACAGCTGATAAAAACATCACAATAATCCACATATAATCCACAAGACTTCAGTCCATCAATTAATGTTTTGTGAAGTGAAAAGTCACGTATTTGTAATAAACAAATGCATCAAGAACTTTTTAACTTTAAACTTCAAAACTTCAAACCTTCAAACTTCAAAGTCCTCTATTCTGCTTCCTCCATTACAAAAGTCATCTCATCTGAATCAGGAGAGAAATATGCACAGATCAAAACAGATTAGATCAGATCTAAACAAATACTGTGATGTTTTTATCAGCTGTTTGGACTCTCATTCTGATGGCACCCATTCACTACAGAGGATCCATTGGTGAGCAATTGATGTAATGCTACATTTCTCCAAATCTGTTCCAATGAAAAAAAATCATCTACATCTTGTATGGCCTGAGGGTGAGTAAATTTTCCTGCAAATTTTCATTTTTGGGGGAACTTTTCCTTTAAGGGATGTGACTCTGTAATGAGGGTCCTGCTAAGGTCCTTTATGGTCTAGCCTAAATTTTTGTCTTTTGTCTTGAGTATTTACAGTGAGCCATGGAGCTACCTAAAACTATCTGTCTCTTCAACAAACTACTGAAATGTTCTCTTAGTGTATGCAGTAGTCATAGATTTCCTAGATATTCCTAATACAAGCTGAAAGGCAAATAAATAGTTGAGTGGTAGAGTGTGCTTTATGACTTGTGTGTACTGAGATCTGTGTTTATGGCAGCGACAGATGTGAGGATTGGAGCAGAGGAACGGGCCCAAATGAGAAGCTCAGAGAGTCTGTCAGAGATCATGAGATCCATACGCCCCCTGTGGCTGACATCTTTATACAACAAGAAAGAGAATAAGAAAATAAATGAAGAATGAAGAATCTTTATAAACAGATTAAACTAAGAGGTCAAATAGATGATGTAGAAATTAAGTACATAGTACCAGTGAGGGTGTCTGCTCCGTTGGTCTCTTAGAATATACTGGTAGAAGCATCAATAGCCCTTGTGGAAAAAAGTGCACATTTTATTGATTGTAAAACGTGAGCAATACATAGATACATATACACACACACACACACACACACACACACACATATTCACACACACACACACACACACACACACACACACACACACACACACACACACACACACACACACACACACACACACACACACACACACATACATACACATACACACACACACACACACACACACACACACACACACACACACTTAAAAATGATCATTATAATGATGTATTAATTAGACATTGAAAGGTACTGTCAAGATATGTAGACTGAAGTACTGTATGAGTACATTTAGGATTATAATAAATATGCAAAACAGATTGTTACAGAGTTAGTTTCACTGAACTTCATTTTAATATCAGTATTACTAATACTTGCACGTAAATATATCCAATGGTGAATTTAAAATATATTTCAAGTACATTAAATGTTGTATAAAATTGCACTTAAATACAATGAAGTTGCAATAAGTATGAACTCTGAAAATATTATAACAAAAAAACATAGTATTCCAGTTGGTATGTTTGTATGTCTCTTGTTTATGTTTCATTTGCATGTTTGTGTCTGTTGAAGCCTGTAGCATTTCATTGCTCTTTATATCATAACCTGTATAAATGCCCCATATGAAGAGCTTACAGGCATTTCTGTATATACTGTGTGTGTGTGTTTATGTGCTTGTGCACAGGTATGTCCACACTTGTGTCAGTTTGTATGTGCTTGCGTATGCACGCTCCAGTGGGCAAAGTGCCCACAGGACTCAGGGTCATCCAGGGCTACAGCCGTGGGCATCTTGCATATAAAACAGCCTCAGTAACCCCATTTCCTCTGAGGGCGATACTCCTCAACAGAGAGAAAAAATGCAACCTTAGCTTCATGCCTCTTGATATTTCAGAAATTTGTTTGTAGAGAAGAGCTTTTGTAAACATGATTATGTTGCAGAATGAAGAGTGGCCATGCTAATGGCAATGTATTTTGAGTGTATTTTAAGTGTATTTTGGGTAGCTCAGAATATTCAGAGAGACAGATCAGGGAAGTTACACCCTGATTTACATGTATTCGGAAGCTTGTTTTTGGTTTTCATTTTACAATCAGGTTTTTGTAGTGGCAAGCGTTCAGTAGCTTCTATATAATGCTTTTTAATGAGACAGGAAAGCAGCCAGATGGAAGTAGGTAGACATTGCAGTAACCACTTGTTGTTCAAAAAACACGTGGAAACTCATTGTTCCATATCTTCAGAATATCTGGAACTGCAAGAAATCAAAACATCTGCTCATCGAGCACGAGGTCACGTAGGCTGAAGAGAAATCCACTTATGTGATATTATGTTTTCTCCAAAACCATATTTTTCAACAAATCAGAGGTTTACATGGTTTACAGTCAGAGGTGGGATGTATCCATGATAATCAGAGGGTCTTGTTTAGTAAGGCAGAACTGAAAATTATTTGTACGGTTTATCAACAGGTGTTTATCGATACAATATACAATAGAATGTGTGTGCAGACACATGCAGTCTTTTGGGATGTTATAGTTTTAATTGCTAAAGGTTGTTTTAAGGTTTTCAATGGCGTGTTTCTGGGAGTGTACATGTGTACTACAGTTTGCATTTAAGGGCTTAGTTTTAGATTAGTCATGACAAGACTCTTATAAGCTGAGAGGCCTATTTGTACACATTCTGTTTTGTAATAAAATGACAGAGGCCAAGATATCCTTTAATAATAGCAAAATGTTGACTGTGCATACATCTGTTTTATTGTGGGGCATGGCCCGATGTTGCAGGTTACGCTAGCACTTACAGAGACTCAAGGGAAAAGTCTTTATTGTTTTTACAAGCTAGAAAAATTAAGCCTGTCTACTCACTAGATGACGAGGTGCCATTTTCTAATATAGACAATGAAAGCAACAAAAGGCAGTGACTCTCTTTATATACTGTATGTTTTAAAAAGCTGACAAAACAGATTATTTGAATGCCATTGTGACTGGTCACCTCTTTTTGTTTTGTATGATTAATTAAATTAATACAATCAAGTTGGTAATGCAAATTCGCTGTACTGACCAACAGAAAGCTGCTTGGTTTGAAAGTGCTACTTAAATTTTTTTTTATATATAGTGTTTGATCTGGATTATAAAAAAAGCAGGGTTTCGTGATTCCAGTCACAGAAAACATTATATGGCTTCAAAAGTTTTGAAATATGTTATATGGCTTCTTTTTGGTGCTTTTTTGGAGCTTAGCAGCTGTGGTCACTATGAACTGTCTGAAGATTCTTCAAAATATTGAATTGTTTATTTCACAGAAGAAATAAAGTCATACGGGTTTGGAACGACATGAGGGTGAGTAAATGATGACAGAAATTTCATTTTTGGCAGAACTGTTTGTTTAATATTTACTACTTTCTTTTTTTGTCCATAATCTTGGTGGTGAGCCAGTTGGCATCTTTTAACTGCAACTAAACGAACAGCTAACTTTTTCACAGGACAGCATTCAGAGAACCAAACAGATAGGAAAGTGGAAACAGACAGGTGAAAGACACCACCACACACCCTGAGGGAAGCTTGCGCTCGTAATATGGTCAGACTAATGAAGACAGAGACAGTGTTGAGCAGCTGTGCAGGATCGGAGAGGACATGCCATGGTTGGTGAAAGACAAGGCCAAGGCTAAGATAGCAAACAGGCAGGGGAGGAGAGGCGTATCGAAGACGAATGGTGCTGTCGGCACTTTGGTTTCCGTACACAAGCAGGCCAGCGCACTTCTTCCCAGGGGGGACAGTCTTTTATATGGGTGTGCTGAAGAGTGGCCAAGGCCTAATCCTTTCACTCACTTCACTGCCCGATGCAATTATACTCTTGCCTCTTCTCATCTCTTGGGGCAAATCTGCATCCAGTAGTGCTCTCATACCATCAATCAGACCCTCTGCCCATCATCATAGTGTGCATTGCTGGCGTTAGTTGACAGCAGCATCAGCACCAAAAGGCAAAGCTGTTCACTAGATTCAATCATGTTTGACTTTACTCACAGAGCGACAATATCCTCACTAATAGGGAAACTGCTTAAATCTATCTATCTATCTATCTATCTATCTATCTATCTATCTATCTGTATATCTGTCTGTCTTTTGGTTGGTCTGGTCGGTCTGTCTATCTATTTATCTACAACACCCTTTTATTCAAAATAAAGGACTATCAGTTAATTTGTTGCTGCAAATTACAGTGTGCACTCCCCTTTAGATATGGTTATTGGCATTTGTCAAATGCAGTACCACTATAGATCCCTTTGATACCTTAGGACCTGTTGGAAGAGCTAATTTTTTCCTTAACACTTGGAACACATGTACGGCAGCGTGTCTAATTTTGACGAGGTGATGAATAGAGTCCCACGAGGAACATTAGCACTCCATTCGCCTTACATGTTGTGGAACATCTGTTTCACTTGCTTCACTTTTACTCACGGTTGGCTTGAAGTTCTGAAGCATTACTTGATCTCACCCAGCTAATCTCATTCCTGTAGTTTAAGATGGGTCTGCTCCAGGCTTAAACCATTTCAAGTCACATAAGTGCCACTGAGTTATTAA